TTCAGTCAGCAAGATCAGCAACTCAGCAGTTTACCCACTGCACCACTGGGGGCTTACATGTAGATGGCCTCAAATGCGATCTGAAGATATCCAGAGATGATTAATCTGGACCAAATTTGGCACACAAACTCAACATGGCTAACTTTGAATACTGGCAGGGTTTGGGGGTGATTGACCTTGCACTCAGGGAGATGTAGTTCACCCGCATCTAGAGAGCACTGAACCCATGTGTCGACAGATCTGGACCAAATTTGGCACACAGACCCAACATGCCCAACTTTGAATACTGGCGGGATTTGGGGAGGATTGATCCATGATTTTGGGAATTATAGTTTATCCATATGCATTTTCTAATGGGAGCATTCATAAAAAACAAAAACAAAGACTGGTTTTTTTCTAAGAAATGTAGTCAGAAATTACCTAACTGATATTAGCTAACACCCCAAAAAAACCATATTTTGCAAATAACCCGGACATCACCAGATACCCAAGCTAGTTATATGTTTAATATTCTGGTGTTCTATATATTGCGCATATGATATTTTCCGCAATCCCAGAATGCACATCAGAGCTCTTTGGGGCCAAAAAAATGCCTTGTTATTTATGTGCTTCTGTCCTTCTTTCAAGGGAGAAAAAAATGAACCATACAAATATTAATATCAGAAGATAGGAAGTTCATTTATATCAGAGCAGTTTATCTATCTGCATTTTATACCTTCTGACTGGCAGTCGTTCTGGAGGCACATTAATAAATATAAGCCTTTGTAAAAATAACAATGACAACAACAACACAATGACAGATAAAAAAAACACCCATGCAATAGTTAAGAAGCCATATGAAAAAAAATGAAGAATAAAAAAATGAAGGAAGAAGTACAGGAGAGAGCAAGATTGCAAGAATAAGGAAATCTTTAATCCAGCGATTTCCAAGTTTCCTTCTTCCACCTGTTTTGGACTTCACCTCCAAAAGTTCCAGTCAATTTGGCCAACAGCCGTGTATCTGGGGAGCTGAGGTCCAAAACAGCTGGAAGACCAAAGTTTGAGAAACACTGCTGCAACCTGTCATCCTATGGGAATATGGATACGGGAGGTAAGATTCATGAGCATGCATGCATCACAGAACGAGAGAGAAGATGAATCTGCCACTTTGAGAAGTTTCTGATATTTAAGCTGGAGTTCGTTAACCATTTGGAAGCAATCCTCAAGCATGTAATTTCTTCTCCATGACATTCCCACTCATCTGCAAATTCCCAATGGCCTTCACCATGCTTATATTGCTTAAAGATAACCAGGTTCCCTCTTAAATAAGGTTTGTTAGCCAACTTCAAGTAGTCTTTTAAAAAAAATTAAAATCCTTGAATACCAACATAACATAAAATATACTGTATATACTCGAGTATAAGCCTAGTTTTTCAGTCCCTTTTTTAGGCTGAAAAAGCTCCCTTCGTCTTATACTCGAGTCAAGGTTATTTATTGTTTTACTCTGTTATAACTATTATTTTTATTACATTTATCATCTTGCTCTATTATTACATTTACATTATTTTACTCTATTATTGTTTTATTACATTTATTATTTTACTCTAAGTATTATTTTTATGACATTTATTATCTTACTCTATTATTACATTTACATTATTTTACTCTATTATTGTTTTATTACATTTATTATTTTACTCTATATATTACTGTTTTGATTACATTTATTATTTTATTCTATTTATTCTATTTATTATTATTATTATTATTATTATTATTATTATTATTATTATTATTATTAAAAGGTTGTAAAGTTAAGATTGTCCCCTGACATTAAGTCCATTCATGTCTGACTCTGGGGTGTGGTGCTCATCTCCATTTCTGACGAACGGACCTTTTGTAAGTTGTAAAATTGTATTTTAATGTATTTTTGTACTATTGTATTATGATGTTTACTGTGGTTTATCTTATTGTATTTTAACCCTCTGCTGTTAGCCGGCCTGAGTCCCTCTTCGGAGGTCAAGAAGCTCGAAATAAATAATATTAAATAATAAATAAATAATAAATAAATAAGAGCTGCCGTTGTCCATAAACACCTCCAAGGTCATGTGGCCGGCATGACTGCACAGAGCGCCATTATTATTATTACATTTACATTATTTTACTCAGTTATTTTTATCACATTTATTATTTTGCTCTCTTTATTATTATTGGAAGGATATGTAAGCACATTTACATTGATGAAGGTTAAAATAATGGTTTAATCAGAATTGGACAGTCTTATCTTAAATTACAGTTTTATGTAAATATTCAAAAACATTTATCCTACTAATGCCTCAATTAATGTAATTTTATAGGTATCTATTTTTATTTTGAAATTTACCAGTAGCTGCTGCATTTCCCACCCTCGGCTTATACTTGAGTCAATATATTTTCCCAGTTTTTTGTGGTAAAATTAGGTACCTCGGCTTATATTTGGGTTGGTTTATACTCGAGTATATACGGTAGTTCAATGATTGTGCGAATGGGACATTCATTGAGTAAAATTCCCTAACTACACGTGTTAGTGCTGACTCCATACCTAACCACGTGAGGACAAGTAGAATATGCCAAAGGAGAGAGTCAGCCTTATTGCTTTTTAAAATTCCATATTTTTAATTCATATTTCATTTCTGTGTGTATGATTGCCTAAATAAACATATCCCAAACATGGGCAGGTTCCAAACTTCTATGTTGTCATCATCCTGCCCTTGGGAGAGGCTAGGATGGGGTTTGGTCAATCATAAGGCAAAATGACATAACTGCCCTCACAAAATGGATTTTAAGTACCATTATATATTATTCCATGCCTTCAAAAACAACCTCAGCTAAGTAGAGCATGTTTCCTCTGAATGAATGCCTGGAGGAGGTAATGGGCTGGAAGAGGAAAAACAAATTGAAACTGAATCCAAAAAGACAGAGATGTTTGCCATCTGGGGGTGGATGTGTGTCAACCAGTCCTGAACAGGGTTACATTGTCCCTGAAAGATTGTGCCCTCAGCTTGGAAGTGCTTCTAGATTTGTCCCTCCAAATGTCAGCCCAGGTAGATATGAGGGTCAGGACTGTTTACTATCAGCTTACTATACGCCAGCTGAGCCCCTTCCTAGATTTGGAAGACCTGAAGATGGTAATGCATGCGTTGATAACCTCAGCGTTGGACATCTCCAATGCGCACATTGGGCTACCTCTGTACCAAGTTTGGAAACTCCAGTTAGTTCAAAATACGGCAGCCAGATTGGTTACAGGAACATCTAGGAGTGAGCATATTACACCCATTCTAAAATCATTCCACTGGCTGCCAATTAGTTTCCAGGCAAAGTACAAAGTGTTGGTTTTGACCTTTACAGCCCTACATGGTTTAGGTCCAGGTTACCTACAGGATTGCCTTCTCCTGTACAATCTGTCCCAAACACTGCCGCCCTGAGTCGCCTTTGGGTTGATATGGGTGGGATAGAAATAATGTAAATAAATAAATAAATAAACACTGACGTCCTCTGGGGGTTGTCTGCTCCAGCCTCCCAGAACCCAACTGGCAACTGTCACCCAGAGGATCTTAATCAGCCGCCCCACGACTGTGGAATGACCTGCCAGAAGAGCAATGACAGCTAAACGAAATGTCAGAATTTAAAATGCAATTAAAGATCCATCTCTTCTGGCAGGTCTACCCAATCATGAGTTTTGATTTGTACCATTATATGTCAATTCTGTAGCTGGGTTTGGTATAAGTTTTCGTGTGTGTGTGTGTGTGTGTGAAATTTAGTAATTTATTGTATTTTTATATTCATTTGTTTTTGAATTTGTTATACCATGCCTCGAGCCATCAGAGAAGCGGGCAATAAATAAAATGTATTATTATTATTATTATTATTATTATTATTATTATTATTATTAGTTGAAACACAACAAGATGAGTCCACAGCAGACACTCTGCTGGCTGTTGAATTGGATCCCACGTCAGACACTTCCCAAGTGTCTAGGACTGTGTGATGTATCAGCAAATAATACGTGCAGATCCCAGTAAGGTGGCCTTTTGCAGCTGGCAGATGGTAATTTTGTCAGAGTCGATTGTGTTTAAGTGCAGGCCAAGGTCTTTAGGCACTGCACCCAGTGTGCCAATCACCACTGGGACCACCTTTACTGGTTTGTGCCAGAGTCTTTGCCGTTTGATCTTTAAATCCTCATATCGTGTCAGCTTTTCCTGTTGTTTCTCTGCAATCCTACTGTCACCTGGGATTGCGACATCGACGATCCATACTTTGTTTTTTAACACAATCGTGAGGTCAGGAGTGTTGTGTATTATTATTATTATTGGAGCCCCCGGTGGTGCAGTGGGTTAAACCCCTGTGCCGGCAGGACTGAAGACTGACAGGTCGCAGGTTCGAATCCGGGGAGAGGCGGATGAGCTCCCTCTATCAGCTCCAGCTCCTCATGCGGGGACATGAGAGAAGCCTCCCACAAGGATGATAAAAACATCAATTCATCCGGGCGTCCCCTGGGCAACATCCTTGCAGGCGGCCAATTCTCTCACACCAGAAGCAACTTGCAGTTTCTCAAGTCGCTCCTGACACGACCAAAATTTATTTTTATTTTTATTATTATTATTATGATTATTATGGATGAGTATGGACCTATTATTATTAATGATGCCAAGCTATCAAAACTGCTCCCAGAAAGCCAAGGCATAGTTGTTATTCCTTGTCCTTCACCAGTGTTCAGAGGCTATGAAGCCAGTTTGCCTATGGAAGATGGTTGCCCATGTTTGGATTTACCAGTCAACTATTGAAAAATGCAGATGCAATCACTAGCCTAGGATGATCATGGAGAAAAAAGGTCTTCCACTTAAAGCCAACAGAGGTGGGGAGTAAAAGCTAGTTAGATCCACAAGGCAAACAGGGTTAAAAACAACAACAACAACAACAACAACAACAACAACAAAACTTCATTTTCTCATCACTTCTAGATGAGGGAGAGGGGGACTTACCAGGGTTTCCTGGGGCGCAGAGCTGACTGAGGAAAAAAGTGCATAGGTGGAAGGAGAGAAAAGAGGGAGAGAGAAAGAGACAGAATTGAATCCCAGAATCAAAAAGCCAAGAAATTCAAAGCAAACACGTATAGCCCAGTAATGCTAAGATGCAGCACAAAAGAGGGGGAAGACCTATGAACCCAGACTCCAAGCTAACTAAAAAATATATATAGTTATAGGGGTGATGCCATAGTTCTTCCCGCTTTCCCTCCCCAAACCAACTTTATCTTAGAGTCCAACCACTATAGTGATGTTTGGCAGCTTTGAATATTTTAGCAATCTTGCCCTCATCAAATATATCTTGCTCACTGTTGGACTGCAGCAAAAATTGAGCTTCTAATGTGGGTTCGTTATACATCAGCCATATCTATAGTTTGGTTATATCCCAAGAAGTCTATATATGGAGGATCTCAGATCTTCTTTTATATAAAGACTACGTGCTTTGGCCCCCCGACTCTGGAACTCATTGACCGGTGAGATTAGGAAGGCCCTCTCCTTAGAAGTTTTCAAGAGGGATCTCAAAATCTGGTTTTTCCGATGCGCTTTTGGAGAGTAGCCATATTATCATACACAGTTGCTCCCCTCAATGGTTTTTGTGCCCAGAGTATATTCCCCACCTATATGAAGGTCTATATTTATGACCCCGTTCCTTTACGAGTTTCTCCCCCACAAACAATCTGCTCCATCCCTATCTCATCTTGATTTTGGCATTTTTAGTATCGTTTTTATCTTGCAAATGTGGCCTGCTCATTGTTATGTTATTTTATTTTACTGTGTATGATTTTGCTTTATCGTCTTTGCACTAATATGTTGTATGTATTTTACTGTGTTGTTATTGTGTTTTGGTTTTACTTTATTGTAATAATCTGTTGGGCTTGGTCTCATGTAAGCTGCCCTGAGTCCCCATTGGGGAGATGGTGGTGGGGTATTAAATAAAGATTATTATTATTATTATTATTATTATTATTATTATTAGACATATGGCAGCCAAAGTTATCCTTGAAATCATGTGATGAATGTCTGGTAAAATTTCTAAAACTTGAGGAAGACCCAAGATTTACAGTGCTTGGAACAAGAGTGCTACATGCATGTATACGTATGAAGCAGGGAGAGTATCAAATTTTGTCAACATACTTATCAGATGCTGGGCTACTGGGGAGACAGGACTATTGGAACAACCAACTCACCAGTAAAATGAGAGAGTTTTTTCTGATTCACGCTTATGGCAACCAGTGCCTGGTAAGGCAGAGCTGGACCCGTGTGCCATTGGACAGCAATTAATCTGTATGAGCGAACCTCTTGTGTATACTAAATATCTCTTTACGCAATATCATAAACAGATCCACTAGTGAATGGGTGGCAATCATGTACTTTCTGAGGCAATCTTGGACCCAAACTCCCTAAATTCCTCACTATTAGCTATGCTGTTTTGATCAACACCATCATCCCCAACCTGCATGAGTGCAACCTCTACATACACCAACATCAAGACCCAATGAGAATAGAGCATTACAGGAAATGAAGGATGGAAATCCTCTTCATGTATACTATGACCACTATTACTGATGTACCTGCAGTTCCACTACCCTCATATGACAATATTATTACTATCATCATCATTATTATTTAAGCTACATTTTGCAGGTGTGGTCTTATTTTATATGTTATTTTGATAGTGTTTTGTCATTCTGTTTAACCATGTTTTTCCTTGCCCCAAGTCCCCATTCCTGCCTTGTCCAGAATTTTCTTTACATCCTTTTATTTAACCTACTCTCATGTTTTCTCGTGCATATCCACAATCTGCCAGACAGAAAGGAAATTCCAGTAATATTCAATCAATGTTATCTCTGTGCTTGTTTATTTTTTCCTGAATTTTCTGCTCAAAGTAAAGTTCTCTCTCCTTTTTTGGATATATGATTTCCAGCCTTTCCTTCCCATCTTTTAACTTTAGCTGTATTTCTCATGCATTAACTGGCTAATCAAAGCTGCTTCATTTGCCAAATTCCTCAAAATTTAGAAAAAAATCAGGATTTCAAGGTCCATTTAATGGAGATGTTTGCTTGCAAGCTACAACTTTGGCTTTCCCAGAGGTTGCAAACCCTGCCTTGCCAAACACCTGATCAGAAGATCGGAGAATGACCAACCCTCTTTTCAGTATTGAGGAGCTCAGTAGGATGGGACGGCTTACCTGAAGACCCAGAAGGTGGAGGCCCACCAGTCTGTTGCCAGATGGTGGCCTCGGCTGCCAGGCGCCTCACATAGCCCTCGTCTACGCACATCAGGATATTCTCCGGTTTTATGTCTGTGTGGATGATTTTGCACTTGGTGTGGAGGTAGTCAAGGCCCTGCAATACCTTGGAAGGAAGATGCATAAAACGGTATGGAGGTGGTATCTAACTCCCATTAGATTGATTAAAAAATACCGTATAAGACAACTAGGCGTATAAGACAACCCCCAACGTTTCCAGTTAAAATATAGAGTTTGGGATATACTCGCCGTATAAGACTACCCCTCTTCCAACAAACACCCAATAAAATTTTTAAAAACATCAGATTTGATTTCAATATGGTAATTTTCCTATTACTGTACCTCCTTCTCTGCCTCTCAGATCTCGCACATGCGCACCTGCAGTCTTCAGGAGTGAGATCTGAGAGGCAGAGGAGGAGGTACGGCAATAGGATACAAGGATGGGCCAGACAGGTAAAAGAGGTGTGTTTTTCTGGGCCCAGAGCCACTCTATCTCTTTTTTCCATACCCCGGGCGCCCCGGACGCCTGCAGCTTGCTCCGCCCTTCACTTCCACTTTCCCGGTGAGGCGCCCCTTCACCTCACCATCGGGACCACATTAAGTCCATGAATCCTGATGAATGGATTTTATTCTACCGTACTTGTACAGCGTCGCCCTTAATGCTTTCATACAGTCACTGGATACGGCAGGGACGCGGCCACTGCCATTTTTGAGCTCCCCCCACAATATGCGGCAACCACAGATTCTCCAATCCAGATTGGAAGTTTCAGGACCCGCTCTATAAGAAGACTCCTGGCGTATAAGACTACTCCCACATATAAGACGACTCCCATGCATAAGGCTACTCCAACGTATAAGACTACTCCCATGTATAAGACTACACCCGCGTATAAGACTACTCCCACGTATCAGACAACCCCTGACTTTTGAGAAGATTTTCTTGGGTTAAAAAGTAGCTTTATACACCAGAATATACGGTACTCAAATCAGTGTTGGAGAGGCTGTCAGGAAATAGGGACGTACCTTCATATGTGGTGGTCATGTAAAATTATACAAAAATTTTTGGAAAGCATATTCAAAGAAATAAGAGCGATAATAAAAATAGAGATCGAGATTACACCAAAATTACCATTATTACTTATACATGACAATACAATTCCCTCACAAGAGCAGATATAATTGGTTTCTAACTTGATAACAGCAGCTAAATGGCTAATAGCAAAAAACTGGAAAGAAATGAAGAAATTCAATTAGAAGAATGGTATAGGGAAATTTGGAATATAGCTATTAATGATAAGCTAACTTGCAATATTAAAATTAAAAGGGGTATATGGAAACAAACAGATTTTTGGAAAATATGGGGGAAATTTATAGAGTATATTTTTAATGAGGGAAAGTGGTATAAGCCAGCAACATAAACAATGACATTTTGGAATTGTGAAATAACATGAGTAGGTTGGTCCTGGTGAAGAGGGCACAAACTAAGGGTAAGGGGAAGAGGGTTACTAATTATAAAGAAATAAAACATGTATAAGTAGATAAAAGGTGTGTGGTAGAGGTATACATAGTATACGTTGTAATTGAAAGTTAAAAAAATGATAAGAAATATGCTTAAAGATGTTTTTGATTTTTTTATTGTTAGATAGTATATAATATGACATACTCTTCTAAGATGTTGTAAAAAAGAGGGAAGAATGTATGCTTATACATTTTGTTTGATAAATTTATATATTTTTTTAAAAGGAAGGAAGATGCATGCTTAAGTGGGAAACAAACCAAGGACTCTTCAATTTCCATGTCAAGAAATTGAGATTGCTTCACAATTTCCATGTCGAGTACCCTAGAGTCCAAACTGGGAGTATCTGAGCCTGAGCACCTTGTTAAGTACTATGTGCTGTGTTAGGAAGCCCCAGGAATAGAAAGAATTTTTTTTCTGTCGTGTCAGGAGCGACTTGAGAAACTGCAAGTCGCTTCTGGTGTGAGAGAATTGGCCATCTGCAAGGACGCTGCCCAGGGGACGCCCGGATGATTTGATGTTTTTATCATCCTTCTGGGAGGCTTCTCTCATGTCCCCACATGAGGAGCTAGAGCTGATAGAGGGAGCTCATCCACCTCTCCCCGGATTCAAACCTGCGACCTGTTCTAATGTAGCACAAATCCTATGTAAAATCATACTACGTATTTTTGACATTAATATTGAAATCTGAAATATATACAGAAAGTCTTTACAGTCCTGCCGGCACAGGGGTTTCACCCACTGTGCTACCGGGGGCTCTAGAGAGAGGGCCCCCGGTGGCTCAGAGAAAGAATTGTGAACTATCTAGACTCTTTGACTGGAAGGAAGTAGAAAATCAGCCAATGTGGCAAAATTACTTCCATGGAAAACAACACCCAGCATTTCCTGGGTGATGCTGAGAGTCGTAATCCTTCTGAGTTTTGATGATGCTAATGATAGCTCTCATAAATATTGGGAATCTAGTCTGGTACTCTGATCAACATTACACTATGGCCTCTGTATCTGCTCACAGTTTTGTCTCCCGAGCCCTGTGATTCCCAACCCTTTTCTGAAGAGGAACCACTTGACCAGGGACCACTTTGATCAGAAACCATTCTCCAACATTAATACCAAAAGGGTTACGAATCAGTTTTTGGTCAAGTTTAGATTTGGTTTGGTTATTTGGGGTGCTGATTCAGAAAATCGCATTAGATAGACCACATCAGCTCTAGTTTCTGATACAGAATGCATGCCATCCAGTAGTCACCATCTGCTCACCCATAGAAAACCATATTTAATAATCTAGAACCACTGACCTTATTTTAGGTCTCATGGCCCACCAGTGGGCCCACGAGTTGGGAACCACTGCCCTTGTCTGACAAAATAGGCCTTAGGAAGGCCCCCACCTTAGAAATTTTCAAGAGGGATCTCAAAACCTGGCTTTTCCAATGTGCTTTTGGAGAGTAGCCATATTATCCTACACAGTTGCTCCCCCTCAACGGTTTTTGTCCCCAGAGTATATTTCCCCACCTCTATTGTCTATATTTATGATCCCGTTCCTTTACAAGTTTCTCCCCCACAAACAATGTGTTCCATCCCTATCTCATCCTGATTTTAGTATTTTTAGTATCTTAGTTTTTATCTTGCACATGCGGCCCGCTCATTGTTATGTTATTTTATTTTACTGTGTATGATTTTGCTTTATCGTCTTTGTACTCATATGCTGTATGTATTTTACTGTGTTGTTATTGTGTTTTGGTTTTACTTCATTGTAATATGCTATTGGGCTTGGCCTCATGTAAACCGCGCCGAGTCCCCATTGGGGAGATGGTGGCGGGGTATTAAATAAAGATTATTATTATTATTATTATTATTATTCCTCTGTCCAACAGATGATTCTCTGCTTCAATTGGAAACTGTCCATAGAATTGCACTGGAGGACTTAGCAATGCCTGGAGAGATGTTCTTGCTAAGCATTTTAGGTCCTCTAACACAACTCTAAGGTATCCTTCAGCTGGAAGTTATTCATTCAATAAACAAATGAAATAAGAAGGTAAGGGATTATTTGGCTGCACAAATGGACCACAAACAAACCATCGTTTTGCAGGAACATGCTAACAAGAGCCACCTTTACCTGACGTAGGATACTCTTGACACAAGGAATAGGGAGCCCTTGGTAATTGGACTTGATGATCCACTTCAACAGCTGGTGCCCTAAAACCTCCAGGACCATGCAAACATCTGGGGAGGGTCAAGTCAAGGAGAAACCGTCGTGGTCAGAATTGCTTTCTTGAAGTGAGGAACCTATCAGCGCAGCATCCCTTGTAATTTCCTCCCCATATTAATGGATTTTTTTTAAAAAAAAATCAGAATATGGGGAAAAAAAGAGAAAAACAGAAATGTATCAGAGAAAGAAATGCTAAACAAAGGTCTCTGGGGCACCCGCATTTGCATCAGAGACATGGTGAAGTTTCAAATATCCACAAGACCTGGGTTCTTTTTTTACAGCACAGGGATTGCAGAGGGAAAATATGGAAAGCAACTTCACAGCACTAATGTCATTATGAGAGTTTGCCAGAATTTGGTTGTGGTTTAGAAAAAAGATGTGAAAAAGAGGTAATAATAATAATAATAATAATGAATTTATTACCTGCTTCTTCCTGCGGCTCAAGGCAGGATACAGTGAATATCCTCTTGCACAATGAATGAGCTTACAAGCCCAGCTTGTATGATGTATTATGCACTAAAACACCTTATAGCAGTGGTTCTCAACCTATGGGTCCCCAGATGTTTTGGCCTCCAACTCCCAGAAATCCTAATAGCTGGTAAACTAGCTGGGATTTCTGGGAGTTGTAGGCCAAACACCTAGGGACCCACAGGTTGAGAACCACTGCTTTATAGGTTCTTGATCATTCAATTTGGGAGAAAATCTTTTAACACCAGGTCACCCCCCCCCCCCCCCAAAAAAAAAAAAGGCAGAAAGCATCTACAACCCATGCCCATATCTCACAAAAGCTCATTCTGGTTCAAACTGTCCTTGGAAAGATTTCAGGAGGCAAGCTGAAGAACTGAATGCTCTCCTGGAGAAACATCTCCAGATGTGCATGAGGCTTGCTTTCTCCCTTATCTGCTAGCTTTCTAACTAATGTAGTACTGTTGTTGTTTTCCTGATTTTATACTCCCTTGTCTGCTATCTACAAAGTGTTGTCTAGACCAGACATTCAGGTGAGGTGCTTTAAGAAACCATGTGTTTCAAACAAGATCCCAATATTGTTTGAACAAGAATATCAAGTGAATATAAATATATATATATATATTTCAGAGTCCCCCAAGGAAGGATACGGACACCATTGATCCCTGAGATCTTGAAATCATCAATCAACTGCACAATATTTTCCCGCTTGGGATCACTGGGATCAGAGTCTCGCACCTGGAAAGGAGGAAAAGAGAAGTGCCAAGTAAACAGGTGAACTACAAGTTTCTGGAGCAACACTGAGGTTAGCAAGTACAGGCATCTACGCTAAAACTATTCATCTTTCAGTTGCCAACCCAAGAGATATGCAGAGACGATATTTCTCTGGATGCAAAAATCACTTCAGGGAGAAGAGTTCCATTTCTAGCCCAACACAAACTAACCCACAAGGGGAAATCAGCAGTTAAGGCATCTCATCAGGCTATTCTTTCTTCAGTTCCAGTCTTACCCAGCCCCATAGACTATCTTAATAATAATAATAATAATAATAATAATAATAATAATAATAATAATAATAACTTTTTTTTTACACCCCGCCAACCAATCTCCCGAAGGGAACTAGGGGTGGCTTACAAGGGACAAGCCCAAAATTTACAAATAATGCACAACAGATGAAAAACATCAGATATCTATATAAATAAAAATGTAATGTTCGTTTGTGGGATTAACAGAACTCAAAAAACCACTGGACAAATTGACACCAAATTTGGACACAAGACACCTAACAACCCAATGTGTGTCCTTCACTCAAAAAAATTGATTTTGTCATTTGGGAGTTGTAGTTGCTGGGATTTATAGTTCACCAACAATCAAAGAGCATTCTGAACCCCACCAAAGATGGAATTGAACCAAACTTGGCACACAGTTCTCGCATGCCCAACAGAAAATACTGGAAGGGTGTCCTTTGGTTTTGGAGTTGTAGTTCACCTACATCCAGAGAGCACTGTGGACTCAAACAACGATGGATCTGGACTAAACTCTACAGGAATACTCAATATGCCCAAATGTGAACACTTGTGGAGTTTGGGGAAAATAGAATCTTGACATTTGGGAGTTGTAGTTGCTGGGATTTATAGTTCCCCAACAATCACAGAGCATTCTGAACCCCATCAACGATAGAATTGGGCCAAACCTCCCACACAGAACCCCCATGTGGGCCACAGCAACACATGGCAGGGGACGGCTAGTAAAGATATAAAAACAATCACAATTGTAAACAACAACAAAACAATATGGCTGAAATAAAGAACATAGCTGAGGTACAGGCTCAATGAATACAATATATTCTGAAGGGAGCACAAGAGAAGTGCAACAATCAAGTAGGCAGGGCTGGAAATACTGTCATCAAAGTGTTGAGGTAGACAATAAGAGGGCCGACGTAAAGTGCTGAACTTAAAGTGGGGACAGGAAAATTACTGGTGGACTACTTAATCAAAAACACACCGGAACATCCAGGTTTTTAGTTGTCTCTGGAAAGAGGGGGCCTGTCCGATTTCCTTAGGGAGGGAGTACCAGAGCCTGGGGGCCACCACTGAGAAGGCCCTCTCTCTCGTTTCCACCAACCATGCTTGAGACAGAGAGAGAGCAGTGCCTCCCTGGATAATCTCAAGATACGCACTGGTTCATAGGGGAAGATGTGATCTCAGAAATAAGCAGGTCCCGCACCTTGAATTAGGACCGGAAACTTATTGGAAGCCAGTGGAGCTGTTTAAACAGGGGGGTAGGCATTATAGTAACTCTACACATTGAGCTTAATCATATGACTGCTATTGAAGCATTGTATATTTAAGAATGATTCTGAATCCTTTGCAGGCAGACACCTAGCATTTCAGGCAGATGGTCAAAACAGAATCTCTGCTTCCAACGTGCTATTTCTCAACTTTTATCAATGGACGAAAACATTCAGTCCCACAACTACAGTCTGGAATGCACAAATGTAACAAAGGCTCTGTGTTGTCAAAGGCTTTCATGGCCAGAATCACTGGGCTGCTGTGAGTTTTCTGGGCTGTATGGCCATGTTCCAGAAGCATTCTCTCCTGGCATTTTGCCCATCTACGGCAGGCATCCTCAGAGGTTGTGAAGTCTCATGGATGCCTGCTATAGTTGTGGGTGAAACGTCAGGAGAGAATGCTTCTGGAACATGCCCATACAGCCCGGAAAACTCACAGCAACCCAGTGATTCTGGCTATGAAAACCTTTGACAACACAGAGTGGTCTCTGTTTATTTCTTTTCAGGATTTATACTAATAAATACAAAAAGCAACTTACAGTCAAAATAAAAGTATCAAAGAAAAAGACAAAGAAGACAACCCGGGAAAGATGTAAAATAACAAAAACAAAAACAAAGAAATAATCTGTTACGAGTTGTGATTCTCAACCTGTGGGTCCCAAGATGTTTTGGCCTTCAACTCCCAGAAATCCGAACACCTGGGGACCCACAGGTTGAGAACCACTATGTTAGAGCCCGGAAGAAAGAAAATATTTTACTGCTCATCTACAAATGCATAGGCAGAATCAAAGCAGAACATCCTCGGAAAATCCAGAGCACCACTGTTCTTAAGCGTCTTTTTAAGATGCTCAACTACTCCAGTTCAGTCAGGAGGGGGTTTCTGAACATACATAATGCTTCCATATTGCATAAGCCAACTCTCCCCAAAGTGTTGCCCTCCAGATTCCACAGGCATTAAGGGTCCAGGACTTGGGGAATATGGAGAGGCAACACACAACACTCACACATTTCAGCAGCTTTATCTCATCCACAGCTGTCTCAGTATAATGCACAGCGCTCTTCACCACTTTGAGGGCCACAAAACGCTTCCGCCTGTTTTGGGGAGAAGGAAAGGAACAAATTGAAGGAGTCGTTGTTGGATTTCCCTTTCCAATTTGCTGAAACGTTTAGATTCTACTTCACAGCCCCAACACCAACCTCAAAACCATTCACAATGAGGTTTTAAGAAAGAACATTAAATATTATTACCTATTATACAAGTTCAGAATTGAATATTGAATAACTCACTCACTCAGTAAAAGCAGCAGTTTGTGTTGCTATAAGCCACTTTCTTTGCCTACCATCTCTTTCTCATAGATGGGGATACACTTACCCCTGAGAAATTCTGAAACTGCAAGTGTCACTTTAAGATTTGTAAGTAACTGTAATAGTGAGTCTCAACCTCACTAGAGATTGTGACTATGGTATAGCTAACTATGAGCCACAGGCTGCACTCTTACACAAGAAGAAGAAGAAGAGGAGGAGGAGGAGGAGGAGGAGGAGGTGGAGAAGGAGGAGGTGGTGGTGGAGGAGGAGGAGGTGGTGGAGGAGGAGGAGGTGGAGGAGGAGGTGGAGGTAGAGGAGGTGGAGGAGGAGGAGGAGGAGGAGGAGGAGGAGGAGGAGGAGGAGGTGGAGGTAGTGGAGAAGGAGGAGGTGGTGGAGGAGGAGGTGGTGGAGGATGAGGTGGAGGAGGAGGTGGAGGTGGAGGAGGTGGAGGTGGAGGAGGAGGAGGAAGAGGAAGTAGTAGTAGTAGTAGTAGTTTATTTTTCTACCCCGCCTCCATCTTCCTGAAGGACTCGGGGCGGCTTACATGGGAGCCAAGCCCAAGGCAGAATACAATTAAAAACAAAGCAATAACAAATTAAGACAGCATAAAACAGCGTAAAACAACATAAAATTAATAGCTAGTAACAACAATAACAGCAGACTAATTTTGGAGGGGGGGGGGGGGAAGAAGGCCACTACATGAGCTGGTTAAAGGATAAGGTGGTTTAGTAAGCTGGATAACAATGTATCATGGCGTAGGAAATATAGAAACAGAGCAAATTAACAGGATCAGAAACAATTCAGTTAATATAATATAGGACATCAAATTAAATGACGATTCAGATCGTGATACAGGCCATTAGTCATAGGAGTCGTCAATCGAAAGCATGACGAAACATCCACGTCTTTAATTCCTTACGGAATGTGGCTAGGGAGGGTGCCAGGCTAATCTCCCTGGGGAGGGAGTTCCAGAGACGGGGGGCCACCATCGAGAATGCCCTTTCTCATGTCTCCACCAACCGTGCCTGAGATGGAGGTGGGAGCAAGAGAAGAGAATTCCCCAGAAGATCTTAAGGACCGCGTGGGCTCATAAGGGAAGAGGCTGGCATGCAGATAGGCAGGTCCTGAACCGTTAAGAGCTTTATAGGTGATAACCTGCACCTTGTATTGGGACCGGAAACTTATAGGCAGCCAGTGGAGCTGTTTAAACAGGAGGGTTGACAACTCTCTGTAACTTGCTCCAGTTAACAAACTGGCTGCCGACTTTTGCACCAGCTATAGTTTCCGAACCGTCTTCAAGGGCAGCCTTACATAGAGTGCATTACAGTAGTCTAATCTTGAGGTAACTAAGGCATGGACCACCATGGTCAAGTCAGACTTCTCGAGGTACGGTCGCAGCTGGCGCACTACAGCTTCTGTATCCCTTATCCGAAATGCTTGGGACCAGAAGCAGTTTCTGGAATATAGATACATAATGGAATACCTTGGAGATCAGACCCAAGGCAAAACATTACATTTATTTATGTTTCACATACACATAGAATGAAGATAATTTTAGATGCAATATAAGGTTTGATGTTTGGATTTTTTTAAAAAAAAAATGCGAGACGTGTTGATGGAATCCATGTATGAGGGCCAACTGTATGTAAAAGTATAGGAATTCTAAAATCCAGGAGGGAACATCTCAAATCTAAACCACTCCTGGCCCCAAGCATTTCAGATAAATGATGCACAACTTGCATTTCTTTTCTTTCTTTCTTTTTTGCACTTTGATAAAAAACTGATAAAATTCTACCACTCTATTTCTCACATCCATTTTTTGAAGGCAATCGAAAATGAAAATAAGTACTTACTGAATGTCCCAACAAAGCCAGACAGTAGAAAAGTGCCCCCAGCCAAGTTTTCGCACGACATGGTAGCGTCCGTTGAACAAGTCCCCGGTTTTTACAGGATAGTAACCACCTAGTAAGAAGAGGAGATAAAACTACTTAATTGGACCAGTTGCCAGAGCCATGGCACATGGAGAGCCAGGAATGCACACAGGCAGTGTCTCACTGAATTCAGACAAGCTCAACTTAGTGCTATTGTATTGTATCAAGAAATTATAAAAAATATGTTGAACAGAAGCTCTCCAAAGCTCTAGGTGCTCTTACTATCTATTACAGGGAAAACCAGCTGATTCCTAATCCATCTAAAGCACAGATATGTGCTTTTCACTTTAAGAACAGACAAGCATCCCAAGCGCTGAGGATTACCTGGGAAGAAATCCCATTGGAGCATTGCAGCACATCCAGATAAATACCTGGGAGTCACTCTGGATTGTGACTTACAAGAAGCACTGCTTGACTATCAAGCAAAATATGGGTGCTAGAAATAGTATCATACGAAAGCTGACTGCATAACCTGGGGATCACAACCAAACACAATGAAGACACCTGCCCTTGTGCTTTGCTACTCTGCTGCTGAGTACGCATGTCCAGTGTGGAATACATCACACCATGTTAAAACAGTGGATGTGGCTCTTAATGAGACACACCACATTATCACAGGATGTCTACACCCAACACCAATGAAGAAATTATACTGCTTAGTTAGTATCGCACCATCTGATATCCGTCGGGAAGCAGCAGTAGGCAATGAAAGGACCAAGGCATTGACATCTCGGGCTCATCCTCTGTTCGGATATCAGCCAGCATGACAATGACGTAAAGAAAGAAACAGCTTCCTAAGTTCTACAGAGATACTCACAGGAACACCTCAGCAAGCAAGAGTCCAAAAGTGGCAGGTTAAAACCTGGAACCTCAATCAGTGGCTGAGACTGGAATTGAAATTCCTTCCTGGGCCTACAGAAGACTGAACAACTTGGAAGGCACTGAACAGACTGAACACTGACACCACAAGATGCAGAGCCAACGTTAAGAAATGGGGCTATAAAATGGAGTTCGCGACATGTGAGTATGGACAAGAGCCAACCACCTACTACAATGCAACCTGAGCCCTGCCACATGCACAATGGAGGACCTTCTCACAGTGACATCAGAGGCACTCCAAGTGGCCAGCTTCTGGTCAAAAAATATATTAGCATAATGCCAAGTTTTTAATAAAAATATATTTGTACTTCTATGAATGCACTTTTATGAATGCATGGCATCGAATTGTGCCAATCTGTAACCCACCTTGAGTCGCCGTATGGTTGAGAAAGGTGGGCTATAAATGTTGTAAATAAATAAATAAAGTATTGTGGTCTTTCCAATGTCTTTAGATCTTTCACCATCACCTGTGCCAACTAGGCTTGAGAAGTAAAAGACTCAACAGCCCAGCATCTTATCTTAAGAGCAGATATTCCTTCAAATCTCACGGCATCCTATCTTCTACTGTGAGCCCTGGCCAATAGCCAGGAGATAAAAACTATGACTAAATATTTGAAAGGATGTCCTATTGAGGAGGGAGAAAGCTTGTTTTCAGCTGCTCCAGAGACCAGAGTGAAATATTCAAATTATATGAAAAGAGATTCCACCTAAACATCAGGAAGAACTTCCTGATTGGAAGTGCTGTTCAACGGTGGAACCTGCTGCCTGGGAGTGTAGCAGAGCCTCTGGAGGTCTTTAAACAGGCTGGATGGTTATCTATTAGGAGTGCTTTGATTGTGCATTCATTCACGGCAGGAGAATAGACTGGATGGCTTTGGGAGCCTCTTCCAATTAAATGAATCAATATCATTTTCCTTATATAGTGAACCCAATGGATCAATTAGATTTGCCCACATGTAGACTCATCATTCAATAAATGGTTCAATTACTACTATATCAACAATATCCACTCTATTTGTGACTAACCAATAGTATGCCATCCAACCTGTGAAAGGAAAGTTGCGAATTTTAATCTGCATTTTGACTTGTATTTTAACTCTGTATGTCTTGTTGTCTATCTTTTAATAATGATTTATCTCTTGTTTCAATGATGTTGTATCCTGCCTCGAGTCATGGGGAGAGGTGGGTAATAAATTTATTATTACTTGAAACACAACAAGATTAGTACACAGCAAACAAGGTCACTCTGCTGGCTGTTGTATTGGATCACACATCGGACACTTCCCAAGTGTCTAGATCTGTGCGATGTATCGGTGAATAATGTGTGCAGATCCCAATATGGTGGCCTTCTGCAGCTGACAGATGGTAATTTTGTCAGTGCCGATTTTGTTTAAGTGCAGGCCAAGGTCTTTAAGCACTGCACCCAGTGTGCCAATCACCACTGGGACCACCTTGACTGGCTTGTGCCAGAGTCTTTGCAGTTCGATCTTTAAATCCTCATATTGTGTCAGCTTTTCCAGTTGTTTCTCTTCAATCCTGCTGTCACCTGGGATTGCAACATCAACGATCCACACTCTGTTTTTTAACACGATTTTGAGGTCAGGAGTATTGTGCTCCAAAACTGTGTCAGTCTGAATTTGTAAGTCCCAGAGTAGTTTGACGTGTTCATTTTCTGTTGTTGTTGTTATTGTTGTTATTATTATTAGCCATCCTAGGTCTCTTCAGGGAGAGAGGGTGGGTTATAAATAAAGTTATTATTTGAAACACAAGATTAGTACACTTGTGAAAACTTTTGTATTCAATCACACGTTAGACACTTCCCAAGCGCCTAGGATTGTGTGATGTATCAGTGAATAATGCCTGCAGATCAGAGAAGGGTGGCCTTTTGCCGCTGACATAGGGTAATTTTGTCAGTACTGATTGTGTTTAAGTTCAGGCCAAGGTCTTTAAGCACTTCACCCAGTATGCCGATCATCACTGAGAATTATTATTATTATTATTATTATTATTATTATTATTATTCTGACACAAAAGCAAAGAATGTCCCAGCAAATGAGATCTATATGCTGGATTTCGTATCACAAAATCACAAGCCAAACATTTCCCAAGCATCTAGGACTGTGTGATGTATTTTCGAATGATGCGCACAGATCCAAGTAAGAAGGCCTTTTGCAGTTGACAGATCGTGATTTTGTCGATGTTTATTGTTTTCAAATGCTGGCTGAGATCTTTTGGCATGGCACCCAGTGTGCCAATGACCACTGGGACCACCTGTACTGGTTTATGCCAGAGCCTTTGCAGTTCGATTTTAAGGTCCTGATAACGGCTGAGTTTTTCCTGTTGTTTTTCCTCAATGCAACTGTCACCTGGAATGGCGACATCAATAATCCAGACTGTTTTCTTTTCCACAATCATGATGCCTGGTGTATTGTGTTCCAAAACTTTGTCAGTCTGGATTCGAAATTCGAAAACAGTATTTTTGCATGTTCATTTTCCATGAACTTTGCAGGTTTATGATCCCACCAATTCTTTACTGCTTATTATTATTATTATTTGAAACACAACAAGATGAGTCCACAGCAGACACTCTGCTGTCTGTTGAATTGGATCACATGTCGGACACTTCCCAAGTGTCTAGGACTGTGTGATATATCAGCGAATAATGCATGCAGATCCCAGTAAGGTGGCCTTCTGCAGCTGGCAGATGGTAATTTTGTCAACACCGATTGTGTTTAAGTGCAGGCCAAGGTCTTTAGGCACTGCACCCAGTGTGCCGATCACCACTGGGACCACCTTGACTGGCTTGTGCCAGAGTCTTTGCAGTTTGATTTTTAAATCCTCACATCTTGTTGGCTTTTCGAGTTGTTTCTCTGCAATCCTGCTGTCACCTGGGGTTGCGATATCAACGATCCATACTTTGTTTTTTAACACGATTGTGAGGTCAGGAGAATTATGCTTCAAAACTCTGTCTGTCTGGATTCGAAAATCCCAGAGGAGTTTGGCAGGTTCATTCTCTGTAACTTTTTCCAGCTTGTGATCCCACCAGTTCTTTGTCGCAAGCAGATGGTATTTGTGGCACAAGTTCCAATGAATCATCTGAGCAACGGTGTTGTGCCTCTGCTTGTAGTCTGTCTGCGCGATCTTCTTGCAGCAGCCCAGGATGTGATCTATTGTTTCATCTGCTTCCTTGCAGAGTCTACATTTGGAATCTGTTGTCGACTTTTCAATTGTGGCTTTGATGGCATTGGTTCTAATGGTTTGTTCTTGGGCTGCCAGAATCAGGCCCTCCGTGTCTCCTTTTTCAGAGTCCCTTTTGTAAGCCACAGCCATGTTTTTTCTTTGTCAATTTGGGTCTCCATTTTTCCCAGGAACTGTCCATGGAGAGCCTTATTATTATTATTATTATTATTATTATTATTATTATTATTATTATTATATTAAAACCAGCTCTATGGCCTGCTCCCACCATCTGTTAGGCAAAGAAATGATACCTTCAAGGGTTCCATCCCCATTCCTGAAAAGTGAGCTGCTCCCCACATTGCCTTGGGAGAAGAATAGTAAGTACATCCTGCTCCACATTGCCTACATACATACCTCGGCAATAATCTCGAGGGTCCTCTTGTTCTTCGTCATCAGACCCCAGGAGACCCCCTCTGATTGCAGCAGGGAGAGGCAGGGGAGGTATTGAGGGGTTGCATGACGCATCCTCTAAGCAGGGCGGACTCAGCGGCCTTGAAAGAGACAGCCAAGGAAAAGAGAGAAACAAGTCAGCATAAGACACCAAGAATATAACAACATGCACATATTTAGTTTCATTTTTATCTTGCTTCTCCTGATCACGGTAATCTATTTAGGGATATCCTTCACTCCTTTCTGAGTGAACTACCCTTGAAAACAAAGAACTGTGAAGTTACCAAGATATTAAAGCGTCATTTGTTCATATTCTTCCCCTTTAACTCAATCACTTTTTGTGACATGTCAGGGCAGAGGCTTATTTTTTTTAATTACTCTGAAAGGTATATCAATACCACGTTAAGAAAAAAACCCAGAAATGCCACCATCATCTTCCGCAATATTTTGTACCTACCTACTGCCTCCAAGTCCCTCTTGTTCGGTTTCCCCCATCTCAAAATATACACAGGGGAGGGAATCACAGAGGCTAATCATAAATGGCAATTGGGTATATATTGGTTGACGTGGATCAACCAACACTTTTCAGTTGCGTTTCTGGTGTCTTCTCCTCTAGGGAGAAGGCACAACCCGTCAGAGGAGAAGTTGGATCTGAGCTGCCGACGTCCGGTGGCCTTTAGGATGGAGACGGGAAGACCCTGCCCAAGCAGGGCAGGCTGGTGCCCAGCTTCCTTCTGCGTCCCACATGTTCCTCTCATTAGTAAAAGAGGAATTAATACTGTGTGAGCTCAGAGCCCTCCTCCCCGTCACAGCCCAAATGCGCACAGAGACAAGAGGCCGACGGGGGTTTAAAAATAGCCCCGCAGACCCCAGCAGCTGCCACCCAGGATGGGAATGGCATTTGGGAGGAGGGGGTGGGACCGGCCAGGGAAAGCAGCCCGCTCTGGTTGGCGTGGGACCTGCTACACCAAGGAGTAATCCTAGGTCCTAACCAGATGACTGCAGGTGTGGCCTCACGTGTTTGGATGAGTCTCCATGAAAGAAACACAATCCCTTTCAAAAATCTCAGCTACCAGGGACTGGACAATGCGACGGGAAAATGATTTTAGTAATGAGACACTGAGGACTTGTGTTTTATGCCTTTTAGTGTTTCTACTGCTTTTATATGGTCTTTATTATATGTTAATGTTTAAATTGTCATATAAGATGACTGGGCATATAAGACAACCCCCAACTTTTCCAGTTAAAATATAGAGTTTGGGATATACTCACCGTATAAGACTACCCCTCTTCCAATACACACCAAATAAAAATTCTCAAAGTATCAGATTTGATTTCAATAAGGTAATTTTCCTATTACTGTACCTCCTTCTCTGCCTCTCAGATCTCACACATGCGCACCTGCACCGCTTCACTGCAGTCTTCAGGAGCGAGATCTGAGAGGCAGAGGAGGTACGGTAATAGGATACAAGGGCGGGCCAGACAGGTAAAAGAGGTGTGTTTTTCTGGGCCAAGAGCCTCTCTTTTTTCCATACCCCGGGCACCCCGGATGCCTGCAGTTTGCTCCGCCCTTCACTTACACCTTCTCGGTGAGGCGCCCCTTCACCTCACCATCGGGACCGCATTAAGTCCATGAATCCTGGAATGGATTTTCTTCTACTGTACTTGTACAGCGTCACCCTTAATGCTTTCATACAGTTGCTGCATACGGCAGGGACACAGCCACGGCCATTTTTGAGCTCCCCCTACAATATGCAGCAACCACAGATTCTCCAATCCGGATTGGAAGTTTCAGCACCCGCTCTATAAGACGACTCCCTGTGTATAAGATGACTCTCGGATATAAGATTACTCCCATGCATACGGCTACTCCACCGTATAAGACGACCCCTGCATATAAGACGACCCCTGACTTTTGAGAAGACTTTCTTGGGTTAAAAAGTAGTCTTATACGCCAGAATATACGGGTATATTTTATGATGTTAGTGGCATTAATTGCCGATTGTAAACTGCCTCGAGTCGCCTTCGGGCTGAGACAGGCGGTATATAAATATGGTAAATCTATATAAATAAAAATGTAATGTTCGTTTGTGGGAGAAACAGAACTCAGAAACCAAATCACTGGATGGATTGACAGAAAATTTTGACACAATACACCTAATAGTCCAACAAGTGTCCATCACCCCTTAAAACACACACAAAAACAGCAGAATTGACTTTAACCCCCCCCCCCCAAATAAACCATCTATATAAATAAAAATGTAATGTTCGTTTGTGGGATTAACATAACTCAAAAACCACTGGACGAATTGACACAAAATTTGGACGCAATACACCTAACAGTCCAATGAGTGTCCATAATCCAGAAACACACACAAAACCCCAGCAGAACAAACTTAAAAACCCAAAAAATACACCATATATACACATGCACATATACATGCACACATACACTCATATACATATGCACATGTACACATTCATACACACACGTATATGTATGCACAAACACACACAAATATACACACATACATATACATACACACATATATACACATGCACATATACATGCACACATACATATATACATATCCACAGGCACATACATATCCACATACATACCTATATACACACAAATATGCATACAGACAAGCACACACATATACACAATATGCATGTACACATATAAACACACAAATACACAAATATATGCACACATATATATACACAGACAAATACACACACACACACACATATATATATATATATACGCAAGCACACATACATACACAAATATATACACACACAAAACACATATAAACAGACCAGGCCACAGCAACGCGTGGCAGGGAACGGCTAGTATATACATATACGCATACATTCATATATATATATATATATATATATATATATATATATATATATATATATACACACACACACACACACACACACACACACATATATATGCAAGCACACACAAATACACACACACATATATATACACCTACACACATATAGATATACATACACATATATACACATATATATGCATACACACAAGCACACACATATACACAATCTATATAAATAAAAATGTAATGTTCATTTGTGGGATTAACATAACTCAAAAACCACTGGATGAACTGACACTAAATTTGGACACAATACACCTATCAGGCCAAGGAGTGATCATCACTCATAAAAACACTGAAAAACACAGCGGAAGGGACATAAAAAGCCAAAAAATCAAAAAGATGTTACAGTGCATGCGCAAAGCCACATATATACACATATGCACATACATACTCACACAAAACACATATATACAGTCTGGGCCACAGCAACACGTGGCAGACGACAGATAGTAATAGATAGATAGATAGATAGATAGATAGATAGATAGATAGATAGATAGATAGATAGATAGCACAGCCTTCAAATGTCCAAATTTGCAATGCAGACTTTTTGGGGGGAGGGGCGGGGAGACAGGTGGATCTGAAACAACATGCAAACACAGGAGCCTTCCTTTGCAACCACAACTCCCATGCAACTGGCTATGGACGTTGTTTAGTTTCTCATCATTTCTCCCCTCTTTGGGCACTATTCCTCACAACAAATCAATCTCCCCAAATACATACAATACGCATTAACCTATGCGACTCTGTCCCCCATCCACAGCTTTTATAATAAGGTCCCTCGGCGGCACCACCCAACTACAAAATTTCCCTATGGACCCTACTCATTTGAGAGGCAACCAGCTTAATACAACAATACAATAAACACTTAGGTTGGATTGCTGTGAATTTTCCGTACTGTCTGGCCATGTTCCAGAAAACTCACAGCAACGCAGCGATTCCGGCCATGAAAGCCTTCGAAAACACTTAGGTTCTTCATCTGACTTTATTTTCGATCATCTAAAACCACAAAGTTGGATGAAGTCAGTATCACGCTGCCAAATGATAAACAGAACCTTACTGCAGAAGCAGCCATCTTATGATAAGGAAACATTTTGTATTTCTCAGGTCACACTTAACAGGGAGTATGTTCTACTAAGGCAGCAACTCCCATTATCTATATAAATAAAAATATACTGTTCTTTTGTGGGATTAACATAACTCAAAAACCACTGGACGAATTGACACCAAATTTAGACACAATTCATCTATCAGACCAAGGAGTGACCATCACTCAAAAAATTGATTTTGTCATTTGTGAGTTGTAGTTGCTGGGATTTATAGTTCACCTACAATCAAAGAGCATTCTGAACTCCACCAATGATAGAATTGAGCCAAACTTTCCACACAGAACCCCCGTGACCAACAAAAAATACTGTGTTTTCTGATGGTCTTTGGCGACCCCACTAACACCCCTTTATGACCTCCGCAGGGGTCCCAACCCCCAGGTTGAAAAGGGGTGCCTTAAAGCCATCCAGTCCAACTCCCTTCACCAGGGCAAGGAAACATAACCAAAGCCCTCCTGACAAAGAGCCATCCAGCCATAGGTATAGATAGATAGATGATAAATAGATAGATAGATGATTCACACACACACACACACACAGATATAGTATCATAGATTTGAAAAGGACCCCTCAAGAAGGACAATGATACGTTGCATGTTCCAGAGTAGGCAAACCAGACAATGTCTACATCAACATTGACAAAGAAAAAACAAGAAATGCGGTTTACCCACAAGCAGAAAGAAATTACATATATTAAAAACCAACACTTTCTCATTACTTTATTTTCCAGATCACCAGACTGGGCCACAGCAATGCGTGGCAGGGGACGGTTAGTTATCTACATAAATAAAAATGTAATGTTCGTTTGTGGGATTAACATAACCCAAAAACCACTGGACGAATCGCCACCAAATTTGGACACAATATACCTATCAGGCCAACAAGTGACCATTACTCATAAAAACACTGAAAAACACAACGGAAGGGGCTTAAAAAGCCAAAAAATGCTACAGCGCATACACAAAAACAACTCCCCCTGGCAATCAACACACACAATAGCATATCCACACTCTCTTCTGGACTACCTCTCCCAGCATCCCCTAGACTAGGCCCTTTAGGAGAGGAGGATGAGCCAAAAGCACTGCTTCTAAGTTGCAAGCTTTCTTCTCCTTGGATTTCTTTGAGATCATCCCAATTCCTGCATATTTGCAATTTCTTTTTCCTGGGCTGCAACTCCCAGCAATCCTCCAGATAGGTAGGTAGGTAGGTAGGTAGGTAGGTAGATAGATAGATAGATAGATAGATAGATAGATAGATAGATAGATAGAGGGAGATAGGTAGGTAGATAGATTGATTGATGGCTGTTGGGAGTTGCAGTTCAAGAATAGGTAGAGAAGGAAGAAAGGAGAGAAAGAGGAAGGGAAAGAAAAGGCGGGAAGGAAGGGAAGAGAAGGAAGGAAGAAGAGAATGAAAAAAAGGGAAGGAAGGAGAGAAAGAAAGGAGGAGAGAAAGAGGGAGGAAAGGTTGACCACAGCAATGTGTGGCAGGTACAGCTAGTAGAATATATTCTGCTAAGTTTGACTGGTCCTTCAAGTGTTTTGGTCATCACTTTGGAGCAGCCTCAGCCACTTTGGCCACTGGTCAGAGATTTTGTGAGCTGAAGTCCAAAACACCTAGAGCGCGAGAATTCAGGATTACTGTGCTAAGATAATAAATCTTACTATTTAAAGGTATATTCACATACGCATACACACACATAAACACCTTAACGTTTTTGATGTCAACAAATT